GTTATGCTCCCTTATTGTCTGTTCATTTTGGTAAGGATAGTAACTACTTAGCTAAAACCAAAACAAGACAGTGCGATTGCGTCAGTGATAGGTATCCAGCTTCTTCCTCATTTCAAGCCTGTGATTTACCTTGCTGGGCATTGCTATTCTTGATGCTACACTGATGTTATTCTGCTTTTGCAGCACTGCTGTCTGTGGTGCCGTGCTTCCTGCTTCTTTGTCCAATTGCACATTATTAAATCTAGTCAAATAAGTACTGTAATTGGCCGTCATTGATTCTATAAAGCTTTGCGTCACGTCAGCCTCAGAGAGGTTAGTATTTGGTGATGTAATATGGTGGGATCTACTAGTTGGAGGCTGAACCTCCTCAGATTTGCATTAATTTACGTAAATACGTTACCAGGTTTTGTTAATGTAGCCCTTGAGACTGAGTTGGCAAAGAATTTATTTTCTTAATGAGAGTTGTTGAACCAATGAGGACACAGATAATCTTATTATACCGTCCAGACCTCATGTTACATTCGATGAGATTTTAGAGAAGTCATGTGTAATACTTTCCTGTGGGTCGAGTCTGCTTATGTTACAGTTGTACAAGGTCAGACCTTAATTTATCTAGCAACTGCGTATTTAATTTTAGAAGTATCACAGGACACATCAGCTTGCAGGGCACCATTCCTGGCTGTTCAAAATGCGGGCCCCAGAGTAACAGTGGCAAGATAATGGGTTGAAAAGGTGAGACTATATGGTATGTTTGCCAATTAGACTAACAGAGAAATAGTTTAAAACTGTAGTATTAAACTGACTGATTCCAAATTTAGATTGCTCTTAATTATTTCATTGCTATGAATAACCTCTCTGTGTGCCTAAAGGCCTTCTATTTATAGAGAGCAAAGCTAGGATTGTCTAGTTTATTTTAAGGTTAAGAAATTAGAATAACATTAACACTCACATAACTAACTTTATACCTATGTGTTTAAAAGTGCTGAAGCTTGATACACTTCTTTCCAAGGAAGGATGCAGCTTCCATGATTAGCAAGTAGTTCAGATTTTTTTTCAATTAAAAAAGAGTAATTTGATTTAAGAAAGCAAAACTTTTTTTTAATTTCTTTTTTAGGGAAAATGGCAAGAAGTAATCCCTGGGTTTTCAGGTGTAAATGGCAAAAATATCAGACTACTCAAAATGTGGTTGAAGGAACACATTCTTAGTAGTACAAAAAGTGAAACTTGTTTAAAGTGAGAATTTGCAGTTGTTTCTAGTGATTACTAGGGTCTAGTAATTGTGAAATACCATAGGAGAGTGAGAGAAGATTTTGCTGCTGAGTTTTTTAGCCTTTTCATTGCCACATCACTTAATGTGGCAGGGATGTGTCTGCTGCTGCTCGGTGTTCCCAGCTGTGCTGTTCTATTCCACTGTGATCCTAGTGGAATATCCACGCTTCAGTTGGACCTTGTCACCTCAGCAGAGTGTATTACCAGCAGTGATATAGCACATCAGGCTCTCGAAGCATGTATAGAGCCCTGGCAGTGTGTCCGACCTTTGTGCTGTGGTGAGCTGTTTGCCTTACACTTATTCTGCCACGTCACAGTCACTTGCTACCTTACTAACTTTCTCATTTTATAAATAATTTTTATGGGACAAGATAATTTAAAAACTATGCACGCAGCAGTTCTGAAGCATCGCTCATCTGAGACCTGTCTGGTGAAGCCTGTGTTTCAAGCAGAGCTTTATGTTGCCTGTGGCATAAACTGTTCTGGGGACAACAGCAAAGCAAGAGATAGCTGACAAAATGGATATGGATGTTGTGTGACCAGGAAAAAGGAAACAAGTTTCTGTGATGACCTGTGGACTGATTTCTTCCTTAATTTTCTGGAGATAAAAGGGAGGTAGAAAGGCAATACATTTTTTCTAAAAACAAAAGGATTTTGTTACTAAATTACTATCCTGCAAGATGCTCTGTGCTCTTAACTCTTCCTGGAATCAGTGTTGTTGGAGGGTATCAACCACTTCATAGGACTAAACTGTATGTGAACATCTTCATAAAGATACTGTAATATACAAGACCAACATTTTTTTTCAGAGAGTTTGCAGTGTGAGGGTCTAATCTAAGGCCTATATAAGTCTTCAGAAGTCTTTTCCGTTCAGCCTCTAGTATAAATACTATATGATGGGCAGGAATATAATGATTTTCAGTCTCGGTTCTCCTAAGGACAGCAGTTTCAGTAGGGCTTGCAGGGCATGAAGGTCCATCCATGTGGATCTAATAAGGTGATCATAACTCATTAAAATTATGCTTCAAAACTTTCAGCAATGACATGAAGTATTCAGATGGAGGGTTTTCAAAATGAAAGGTGTGAAGAAAGGGAAGGTAGCTTCTGTGTGCCTTCAGGCTGTTGAGGAAACGAGATTATGAATGTTATGCATTTTTCCTTAATAAATTATGCTATACAAGTCAACTATTTAATCTCGTTAGGAGCACCTCCCAGCTGCCAGTGAAAGGTTATTTTATTCTAAAATGTACTTTCCTTTTAGCTGATGGCTAGAAGAGGTTGTGGATATGTTTATTGAGATATGCTTCTAAAACTGCTAGCCCAAGGGAGATTTTAGCTTTGCTGGCTAAAAGGTTGTCAGTCTTCAGAACACCGTATATTTGTGGGTTACATGAGGGAAGCTTTAAGGTGCCATCAGAATTGGAAAAGTATTTATGAAAATGTGAAGATAAACGCACAGAAGAACCTTGACTCGGAATTTTCCTGCCTGTTAGCAAAGTGCATTACCACAAGAGATGACGAAGAGTTTAATGCCTCATTGGAGCATTTAAGATTAGATATCAGGAAGAAGTTCTTCACGGAGAGTGTGGTGAGGCACTGGAACAGGTTGCCCAGAGAAGCTGTGGATGCCCCATGCCTGGAAGTGTTCAAGGCCAGGCTGGACGAGGCTTTGAGCAACCTGGTCTAGTGGAAGGTGTCCCTGCCCATGGCAGGGGGGTTGGAACTAGATGGTCTTTATGGTCCCTTCCAACCCAAACTGTTGTATGATTAATGGCCTCATTGATGATGAGAATTTTACATTCTGCTTCATAAGAAAGTTGTGGCAGCATTTATTAAAAAAAAGATGGTCAGCTGCTTTGGTTTGTATAGCTTTTCAAAAAGCTGTCATTTGTATGTTTGGAAGTTTGGCATGGGATTCCTTGGAAGTTTGACATGGGATTCCTTCCTTTTTGCATAAAGCAAACTGTATTTTTAAAAAAATATTCTTATTAATGTCTTTTTGTTGCAACAAACTCGATAGGCTTTCATAAGCTTGGTTTGATCATAAGCGTTTCAGAACATCTTTATAATTGTTTTTTAGATTTATGGAGAAGTTCGTATTGTCCATCCTGTCCAGTAGGATGTCGGTCAGTCAGCGTTCTCGATAATTTCAGAAATCTTTTTTGCGAGAGAAGTTCTACCTAAACTTCAGTGTGCCAGAACAGAGCTTGGAGAACTTCTAAGCATTAATATGTTGTGCAGCAGGTTTAGCATCGAGTAGTATGTGAAAAGTTTTGGTACGTGTGTCTGCATTGTGCTGACCTGTTCATCAGTCTAACTTATGTGTGAAATCTTCTTTTGGACTGTTACTGAAACCTCGATTAGAGACACAAAAGGAAGGAACAGAGGACCCTTCAGAAAAGCTGTCTTTTATGAACAACATAAAGGTCTGTTCTTCTAAGCCCCAAAAGAAAATATGTCCATAAATATTTTGTTATTATTATTTGTGGAAGATTTTTTGCAGTCAGAGATGGGAGTCGGGAGCAAATTTGTATATTTTTTCCTTAAAAAAAGCCAGGACTGAAGGTGAGATTTTTTCCAATTTCCTTCAGGTTGTCCATCCTTGCAGTTAAAAACCTGGGCCATGGTTCCAGTACATAGTGAAAATCCATAATGTGGGAGTCTGACTCCAAGAGACCTTTAGCTTCTGAGTCAGTCTTTCTCTGAGCCCTTACTTAATTTTGGTTTACAAGCTTTACCGTAATTTACTAAGTAGTAAAGTGTTTGTGGGTGGGATTGTAATAGTGGCTATGGTTCTTTGATTAGTGACGTGTTTGCAGGAACAGTACAGAAATTAGTCTAAAAAGAAACCTGCTTGGTGCTTTCCCTTGAAGACCATTTTCAGAAAGTGGCCTCCAAACAATTTCTGCAGCATTCCTTCTCTATTTGCCAACTGACTAGGACACCCCACAATGATTGTGCTGTGATAAACATACAGCACTTGCCTAGTGTGATAGCTTAATGTTTGTGCAACACTTTGGTGATGATAAGTGGTTCTGGGTGGTAGATACAGTACATTACTGCATAAAGTGTGGGAGTAATAGTTCAACACTTTAAAAAAAATAATTCAACGCTGGTGTCCCCAGTCTGATTAAAGGACAAATGTGTTTAGCCACTAAGGTGAAATCAGAGAAACTTTGGCAAAACCCAAAGCCCACTTGTAAAAACCTAGGTAGGCATGTATTAACTTAAGGTTTTGTTCCTTATATACCTTTTATGATATACAAATGCTACATTTTACACTTAAGAACCTACAGGAAGATGTTGTAAAGAGCAACATTCATGACTTTCCAATTATAACCTACTAGCAAGTTGTTTGGTTGATGTGATATCACTAGCAAAAAGCATAATGAACATAAGCCACAGTAAAGTTGGTGATGTGAGCATACTGAATTGAAGCTGGTGACTATAGTTAAAAGGTTTGACATACTCCATTACTAATCCACTGAGCCTTCTGACTACTCTCACACCTTTAATAATAATAGTTGGCATGGCCTGACCATCACCCGTTGTCATTGTGTAATGAACTCCTGTGAAGGTCCATTAAGGTAGTGCAGGAATATTTAAAATAAAATATTAAAATAACACCTGATCTTTTTGGGGGAAAAATACCTTAAGAAAGGTATGATCCTTAGCAGTATGTTTTTTGTGTGTGTTTCAAAATAGCTCAGCTTTATAGCTCCCCATAAGAAATGATGGATGAAAGAGAAGATTTGGTTGAAGATCTGCTCACCGAGTATGCCATACAGCTTAGCATTCAAGAATCAAGTGGGGCCAAACCACCAGTGTCTTCCAGCTATAATGACAGGTACTGTCAATTCAATATGGGTTAGAGATTATGCCATATTTTAACAGTGTTTTCAGACATTGATTTTTTAGTGCCTTATATCATGCTTAAAGCAGTTCTTAGTTTGCCTATTACACCTCTTTCTCAGTGAAGCACTGAAGCAATGATTGAAAACAGTAAACCAAATAGAAATGTTGATTTTGTTTTTCTCAAATATTTCTAAAACCTCAAACTTCAGAGACGATAAATTTGTATTTGTTGTTAATCTGTCTGTTCTGCTGGAGAGGTGCTCCAGCCCTCCGATCATCTTTGTGGCCTCCTCTGGACTCGCTCCAACTGATCAATACTTCTGATATTGAGGACCCGAGAGCTGGTCGCAGCACTCCAGGTGGGGTCTCACAAGAGCAGAGCAGAGGGGGAGAATCCCCTCCCTCGACCTGCTGGCCACACTTCTCTGGATACAGCCCAGGACACGGTTGGCTTTCTGTACTGCCAGCGCACACTGCCGGCTCATGTCCAGTTTTCCATCCACCAGTACCCCCAAGTCCTTCTCCTCTGAGCTGCTCTCTATCCACTCTCCCCCCAGCCTGTACTTGTGCTTGGGATTTCCCCAACCCAGGTGCAGGACCTTGCACTTGGCCTTGTTGAACTCCATGAGGTTGGCAGTGGCCCACCTCTCCAGCCTGTCCAGGTCCCTCTGGATGGCATCCCTTCCCTCCAGCGTGTGAACCGAACCGCACCACACAGCTTGGTGTCATTGGCAAACTTACTGAGGGTGCACTCAATGCCACCGTCCATGTCACTAACAAAGGTGTTAAACATCACCGGTCCCAACACTGACTCCTGAGGAACATTGCTTGTCACTGTTCTCCACTCAGACATCAAGCTGTTGACCACAACACTCTGTGACCATGAAGCCAGTTCTTTATCCACCAAGTGGTCCATCTGTCAAATCCATGTCTCCAATTTAGAGACAAGGATGTCATGTGGGACAGTGTCGTGTGCTTTTCCCTTCCTTTATCCACCAAAGTCATGACCCCATCGTAGAAGGCCACCATATTCATCAGGTATGATCTGCCCTTGGTAAAGCCATGTTGGCTGCCACCAATCACCTCCTTGTTTTCTATGTGCCTCTGCATGGTTTCCAGTAAGATCTGCTCTATGATCTTGCCAGGCATGGAAGTGAGACTGACTGGCCTGTAGTTCTCTGGGTCTTCTTTTTTTCCCTTTTTAAAAATGAGGGTTATGTTTCCCTTTTTCCAGTCAGCGGGAACTTCACCAGGCCGCTATGACTTTTCAAATATGATGGATAGAGGTTTTGCAACTCCACCGGCCAGTTCTTTCAGGACCCATGGATGTATTCCATCAGGTCCCATGGACTTGTGCACCTTCAGGTTCCTCAGGTGTTCCCAAATCTGATCCTCACTGACCGTGGGCGGCTCTCCATTCTCCCAGTCCCTGCCCTTGTCTTCTGTGACATTGGGGGTATGGCTTGTGCCCTTGCCAGTGAAGACCAAAGCAAAAAAAGAATTGAGTACCTCGGCCTTCTCCATATCCTGGGAAACCAGCTCTCCTGTTTCCTTCTGCAGAGGGCCCAAATTTTCCCTGATCTTTTTATCCCCTATGTACCTTTCATGTTGGTCTTGATGTCCCTGGTTTAATTCTGTCAGGGCTTTGGCTTTCCTAACCTGATCTCAGACCTCTCAGGCAACTTCCCTGTAATCCTCCCAGGCTCCCTGTCCATGCTTCCACCCACTGTCGGCTTCCTTTTTGTGCCTCACTTTGACCAGGAGCTGCTTATTCATCCATGCAGGCCTCTGGTGTTTTTTACCTGACTTCCTCTTCATTGGCATGCATTAAATTAAATCTGATCTATTTCCTAATATGCTTTTATCACCAAAATATCTCAAGAAGCAAGCAGTCACCAGCATTTACATACCACCTCCTGGAGGTTTAAATTATATTGTTAAAAACATTACAACTAATTTTCAAGAAAAATTATACCTTTGATATCATTAAACTCTCCTTCATTAGTGTATATTAACATTCTGGCACCATCACATTCTCATTCACTGTCTAAAGTTTCTGAATCTCAAGGGCTTACTTCTGTAGTGTGGGGAAATACAGTTTTTTTAGTCCACATCAAAATTCTTTACTAAATAAGGAGATTTATCAGGTCAGGCTGCAGCAGAAATTGCACCTAACTCGATAACTTTGGATACTCTGAAGGTCCACAGTGCAGATGTAACTTGGGGGGTCACAAGGCTCATAAAGATTGTAGTTGATGTATTCAAGAAAGGGGGGCTCAGATGAGAACCTGAGGAAAATACTGAATAAATAATGTAATGCATCTACCTTTTGTTTATATTTACTATTTTCTGTGCTTTTTTGATAGTTTTGTACCACCTAGTGAGGAAAACAGGAAAATTGTAACATCCATAAAGCAAGGTAAAACCCCTAAAATATAATAGTCCTTTTGCTAAACTGGCCTGCCTTTATATTATTTTTCCAACTGCATCTTATTTATCTGTTGGATTTATTTAAGGTCAAGTATTTGGGCTCCAAGAACTTGTGAAACACAAATATGCTTTGGATGAAGCTGATGAAAGAGGGTGGTTTCCACTGCACGAGGCTGCAGCTCAGCCAATTCAGCAAATACTTGAAATCATTTTAGACGGTAAGGTAAAAATATCCTACAAGATAAGGGGAGCGGCAAAGAGACGGAGAACAATAAACAGCCATCCACAAACAACAGGCTAGAACTGTTTACTAAAAAAAAAAGTATGATCAAATCCTCTGTGGAGCATCTTGCTTCTGTTCTGGGCAAATTTTCTTTTTGGGAAAATTGCATCAGTGTACACCAAAAAGAACTTGGACGGTTTTTAATGGTTTGTTCAGAAACCTACAGACAGAGCAAAAATTACTGTTCAGTCTTCAGTGTGTTTGACAGTACTAGTTAGGTTAAGTTAAACTTAATTACAAGAAATGTTCATAATGACTTAGCATTTAGGGATTTCTGGTATGTGTGTTAACAGCCTCGTGCTTTAATTTTACCTGTTCTCACTTCCTTCCGTCTAGCGTCTTATAAAACAATGTGGGAATACAAAACAGGCGACGGAGAGACACCGTTAACTTTGGCAGCAACAGCTGGCTTCGTGGAAAATGTACGAACGTTACTGGAAAAGGGTGTTTGGCCCAATACCACCAACGACAAAGGAGAAACTCCACTTCTTATTGGTAATTGCCTCCTCTCCCTGGGATTAAGCAAAGTGAATGGCAGCACTTCCCCTCCCCTAAGTGCTCACCCTGTTGGCTTGGGTGGCTTAGATAATGGTCTTTTTAGATGAAACCAAACGCTCAGCACTTGGTACCCAGTGTTCGGTTCAGACCTCATTAGGCTTTAGGTGATCACTGGGCTGCTCCTAAAAAAATGGGACCTATTGTTTTCTTCAAGGCACCTTCTTGGTATCTTCAGGTGCTGTAAGACCTTGAGCAACCTGGTCCTATTTGACCATCTTAAGGTAAAAGGATGGTGCAAGGATAACCTGTTGGTTTAACTTGAATGTACCTTTTTTCTGGAGGTTATTGGAGGTTTTTAGGTTCAGATTTCTTCAGGAGTAGGCAGGTATTTTCAATTTCAAAATCTCCGATCTCATTTCCTTCCCCTCTTGCACTAAAAATAAACTTCAACTGCATTTTTAAGTAAAAATCCAGTCTAAAGAAAGATGATTCCTTTGGAAGATTTTATGCTAGTGATAAACTTAAGTGAGTTTTACTATACATGAGTAATTTAGCTCTATCAGCTTGTAATTTCTGCTGAATGTCAAAATGTCTCCATTCTTCCAAAGAGAATCTGTGAAATTAATACAGTATAAGAAAATACAATACATAAAGTTATCGGTATTAGAATATTCAGTTCTCTGAATTCTTGTTAACTTTAATCAGATGTGATTACTGTATTAACATTTTAAGGCCCTGAGGCATTTCTGGAGGGTTCCTCTGCAATGTCTTGTTTTGCACTGTTTCAGCCCTTTTCAATAATTGTAAATCTGTGAAAATTGTAAGTAGTATTTTCAACCTTTGCTTTTAACGAATCCTGCAACTTGAGCTTATGAAAGGGGTCTTTCCCTTTTATAATGACAATGTATTTTCCTAAATATTTCTCTGTATAAACTCCTGAAACTGAGGTTTGTCAGTTATGTATATTTTATGTGATGTTTTTTATGGTTTTGTGTCACTTGGCACTGAAAATGTGGATGTAGCTATTGCTGTGCGTCATTCATTTCAGTCTTAGTCTCAGTGAAATAGAGGATCAGGTGCTTAACGCAGATGATGCTCATGATTTAGTTACTCCTTTTAATTTTAAAGCTGGATTAAATGTCTCTTTAGTACAAAGGTAAATACTGGAAAAGTATCTACCTAGTGGGACGATTTCTGCTTCCAGGAACATTTGGTAATACTCTGCTTCAAAGCAATTGTGGATAGTTATGTTGCCTCTTAAAACCCTTCTTACTTGTATAACGGGACATCCATGGAAGTTAAATTTGTGGACCATATGATGCTAATCTCTCTCAGCTGCCCCACCAGTCAGTGAAGAGACCTGCTATTCCAAAGAGTAGTTCATAAGTCAAATTAGACTCTTACTGAGGATCACTATTTTATATGTAAATAATTTGCAAGTGTAGTTATCCGTGAAAATTTCAAACCTGGAACTTCAAAAGAGCAGAACATGGCCTTTAAGTGTGACTGATGTCAACTGTACTTTGGCAGCAGCCACTGAGTATCTGCCTGGATCAGAGTTATCAGGGGACAAAGTCACAAGTGGAATTTTCTGAGGGCACTGTAATGTTTGCACCAACTTTAGAAGTAAAGTCCGTATTATAATACCATGTTGGTTTTATTGTTGTTTTCCCTTGTGATGCACCTGCTTCTGCTTTCTCAGAATTGAAGTGGTGCTGCTTTTGCCCTCCGTGCTCCAAACTGACATAGTTTCCAGCTTGTGTTGTTTTACCTTGATTTCCCCAGCAGTTGACACTACCATTTACTTACCAGTGAATTGGATTCCTAGATTTCTAGGACTGGAAATCTTTTTGATTTCCTCATATCAGTGCAAAAGGAAAAGCTTTTCTAAACTTATTAGACATCTTCAAATTTCAAGACAACATACCTGAAAACATAATTGTATTATTTTCTTCCTTTTTGAAATATCTTCAAGCTGTAAGAAGGGGCTCTTTTGAAATGGTATCCACTCTGATTAAGCACAACTGTAGTATCCACCAGCCGTGCGTAAAACGTTGGTCAGCAATGCATGAAGCCGCAAAACAGGGGCGCAAGGACATCATTGCTCTTCTTCTGAAGAACGGCGGAAATGTGAACCTTAAAGATGGATATGGAGTAACACCGTTAGGTGTTGCTGCCGAATATGGTCACTGTGATGTGCTGGAGCATCTTATTCATAAAGGTATGGAGTCAGCTGGAAGGGAAATAGCACTGGCATACATCTTGCCTGGTTGCTGAGGTGTTTTGGGGTACTCATGGAAAAGGAAAGAGAGAGTAGTGATGAATGAGAAGATTTGGTTTCTTGGAAGGAAAGGAAGCCTTTTTAAGTTTTCCTGCTAGACTGGAGTGGTGCTTACACTTTTCAAAATGCATGTCAGAGGAGTGGCAAAGTAGATACCAATCCATTTCAGTCAAGGAGGGACTTAGTGGTATACATTCTCTTGCCCTTCTTTATTTCTCCTTACTCCCTGCCATCCCTCCAATGGACAGAATTGTATTGGTATTAATTAATGAATTGAAGTATTTTTGAAATATGGCAGAATTTTGAAAATCCTCGGTTATAAGGCTTGCAGTCAAAGCAGACCCCGCTCAGGTGAGCATTTGAACTTGGATCTGTACAACTCCTGTTTTGCCTTTGAGTTTTAAATTTGATACCAGAAATGCTTCTTGGTTTAGTCAAGTTTTAACTTAAATACATCTGTAATGAAGAGGAAAGTACTCTGGGCTTGATTTTGTGATGATCTGCAAATCACTTTGGATATAATCATAAACTGTATCCTGCTTCAAGGTGGAGATGTCCAGGCCTTAGCAGATGATGGTGCATCCATACTGTTTGAAGCAGCTGGAGGAGGTAATCCGGACTGCATAGCCCTCCTTTTGGAATACGGAGGAAGTGGCAACATGCCTAATAAGGCAGGATTGCTTCCTATACACAAAGCGGCTTATGAGGGACATTACCTGTGAGTACGAGCTTGGACGTTACATTTTGTTTAAGATACGTTGTGGCTCACGCTGGCACTGAGGAAGACTGTGGTAAACTTGCAAATGTATAGATCATTTATATTTCAGAAGTGCCTATATTAAATGAGTTTGAATTAACTTTTAAGTGTTCCTTTAGCATAAGTGAGGCAAAACACAAAATATACTCTTTAGAACAAAGTGAAGCCCACTGAAACTACTTCAACACAAGGTTCTGTTTGACATTGCTCAAAACTGGTGTTTCTGTGTTTGGATCTTCTCGCGTGAAATGTCTGTCTGGTAATTTAGCCTATAGCCAGATGATGGTCCTTTTCTTCATGCAGGGGAGTGATGGCTAACTGGTTTTCTTCCCTGTTTTTTAGGGTCTTGAAATACCTCATTCTGGTAACATCCCAAACCGCAATCCAGAAAAGTGGGTTAAGCCCTGTTCACTCAGCAGCAGATGGCCAGAATTCGCAGTGCCTAGAGCTCCTCATTGACAGTGGCTTTGATGTCAATACCCTCTTGGCTGAACACATCTCAGATAGTTATGATGACGAGAGGAAAACCGCACTTTATTTCGCTGTTTCTAACAATGACATTCTTTGCACTGAAATATTGCTCAAAGCGGGAGCGGATCCAAACAAGGATCCTTTAAACTGTCTTCTTGTGGCAGTGAGAGCTGGTAACCATGAAATTGTAAGGCTGCTCTTATCTTACGGAGCAAATGTCAATTGCTACTTTATGCTGGTTAATGATACCCATTTTCCCAGCGCCATTCAGTACGCTTTGAGTGATGAGGTGATGCTGAGGCTGTTGCTCAATCATGGATATAACGTGGAGATGTGTTTTGACTGTATGCATCAGGATATCTTTGGAAATTCTTTTGTCTGGTCAACTCCAGAGGAAGAGATTCTCCCCGGGTGGACTTCTTCTGTAATAAAGGATAATCCAGTAAATACCTAACCTTCCTTCCTTCTCTGCACTTTGCTCTTTTCATTAGACAGCTTTAAACATTCCAGGCTATTGTACAGAATGAAAATTAACATAGGCGCAAAATCCTTTTTTTAGAACACCCTAAAAACAGCCATTTTTCATTTTCTACTCTGAAATAGAGAAAATTATGCACATAGAGTCGTTTTCGTTTGGGGTTCATATATTACAGATTTAGGAAGGAAGTTTTAAAAAGCTGTGGGGCAGGATTCTGGAATCTGTTCCTGTCCACACCAATGGAGTAGATGTGTTTCCAAAGGGATACTGCTGTCAAACAAAACAGTGCTGTGAGTTATACCAGTGTAACGATTATTGGCCTTCAGGCCTGTCCAGACAAATTAAGGGATCACAAAGGTTAAGCATGGAAGAAAATAGCTTTTAAAGTAACCTATCTAGGCATCACTTTATGACTGTTAAAGGTCATTGCTAATACTTTGTTTAAATTGTCTTGTGTAATTGCTTTAAAGTGCGTCACTTTGGTATTCTTCTGCTCAGATGTTGAAGTTATGACTTGATGTGTTTTCCCTTTCAGTTCTGTGACTTTATTGCTGTCCCTTGGTTGAAGCATTTAGCAGGGAAAGTGGTTCGTGTGTTAATAGATTACATGGATTATGTTCCTCTATGCACAAAAATCAAGGTTGTCTTAGAAACACAGAAAGAGTGGACAGAGATACGTCAGATACTGGGTAAATATCTAACTTCCAGTTAATGATGTTATGATTTATTATAGGAGACTTCAATTGCTTATGCTAGGTCACATTCATCTGAAGTGTTGTAGCAGTCCCAATGTGTGCTAGCTAAGAACCAGATTGTGCCTGTCATCCAGTCCTCAGATTGAGACAGAGCTTCACCTATTGCCTCTGATCATAAATGAGTTAATTGGACTGGAATATGGCAAACGTGCAGCTGGTGAGAATTAATCTCATACGACATAGCACTGTTGTGCAGGAAGCCCTTTTGGTTAGGCAGGCCTACTGAGGTACTTCTCAAATTCCTTATTGACCCATGTGACACATGGGTCATTGCACAGCTCTTGGGCACAATTTTTTATTGAGGGATGTTGCTCACGCTTCCATCGTTCAGGGATTCTCGTAAGAGTGTGTTTTAGATCCCATTATGTTCAAGGTGGTAGGTGGTGGCAATGAGTGTGCCATCGCAATCTGTGTACCATCATTTCCTAACAGATTGACGTGATAGACATCTAGAGTTGCAATTGCTAATACTGTAATTGAATAATATTCCTCATGTGTGCTTTATTTTTGAAGTTCTACACGTTAGCCAGGGCCTTCCACCATCAGTGGCACCACAGACAGATTTCAGCAGCCTTAATTTAAAAAAAAAAATCTGTCAGGGGAATATAGTGAGAATTCTCTTTGTATAAATTAATTTTATTTGACTTTTTATTAATTTTAAATATAATGTGATTTAACATCAGCTGTTAAATAGCAAAATACCTATGTTTAAAACTGGTACCCTTTATTTAATTTTGCTTTGCTATTTTACACTGGAATACAGAGGAAATCCTTTTTGTTAGCGTCACGGGAACATCTAAACAATTTCATAGTCATAACTACTGATATTTCAAGTACCTTGAAATGTTTTGTTATGTTCAGAAAGGCTAAATTAAACTGAGCTCATTGATGTAAATTCTGATAAGAAGCATTTGTTTAGAAGACTCAGCAGACCCAAGCACAGTAAGGTCTGGTCCTTACTGATACAGCAGAAATGGAAGGTGCCACAGCTGGCCTTGACGTGCAGTTTTTAAGATGTGTCCCTAGGGAGAGATTGTTCATCACTTACATTGGTTACGCTAAAAAAAATCCTCGTTTAGGTGTTCAGATGGGTGCTTTGGAAACAAGGTACAGTGTGCATGTTTCCAAAAGAAGTACAGAAAATGGCAGGTGTCTGATTCAAGAAGTTTGATTAATGTCAGCAGTAGTTATCATTGCAGTTTTGAAGTGAAAAGAATGGTGTTTTACTCGGAAGTGGCAAATAATAACACCCCATGCTAATAGATTTTGATATTAATTTTATTAGAACAAGTTTTGGGAATGTGAACTGGTATGAAGTCATTAATGTAATTTTTTCACCATTCCTCTCTGTCTGTTATTTCTAGATAATCCTCGCCCTTTGAAACATCTGTGTCGTCTGAAAATACGTAAACTCTTGGGGTCAAGGAAACTCCAGAAACTGTCATCCATGAAGAAGTTTCCACTTCCACCAGTTCTCAAGAATTATATCCTATATAAAGAATATGATCTATATGGAAAAGGGATACATTTAGAATAGTTTTTAAAAATAACTGCCTACGGTCTGTAATTTGACTCATTTCCTCACTGTTTTTTACTAGCTAAAGAGCTGCTCAGTGTTTTGTAGACACTGACAACATTCTAATATTTGTGGTTAATAGCTCTTTTATGGGAACAATTTTTTCTTCAAAACTGGTACATTAAAGCTCATGTTTTAACACGTACTATTGAAATATAGGCTAAAACCAGAATAAGGACACTATCAGAATTGTGTGGAACAGTATGCTGTAAATGGGAATTCAAATTAATTAAGAATAAAAGAAGAATATTCCTGAAGGGCTTCCCAGTGGATATGATAAATACAGTTGCTGCTCTCAGTTTGTGATGTTAGTTTATCTGTAAAAATAATAAGTGTCTGATTTAGCTTGGCAAAGAAAACTAAACTGCTAAATGCATGTCTCTGTCATGTAGTTTGCCTGAAATTTAGCACAATTTGTGTGTTGAAAATCATGGTCCTGTTATAAAATTCTCTAAAAACACTCCAATGATTCTTTTTAGCTACTTTTCCAAAGCGTTTGGTTCCAGGTATGACTGCTGCGTGTGCCAGCACTGCATGTTTTAATGCATGGAAAATTTTGAGGGACCTCAAATAGGCTGTTAGGAAGAAAGAGTAAGTTTTGAATGGACAAACCAACCAGGAAATGGAGCAGTGAATCCCTTTAGTTGAGAGATGTTGTGATGTCATAACTTTAATTATGGTTCCTACAGGGGTTTGACAAATCACTTCTTGACCAGACTAAGCCACACCCTTAGTCATGCTGTGACAGTATGTTTCTGTACACGTCTAGAAGAAAACAAATCTGATTAACTGTTCTTCAAATCACTATTAAAAGTGGATTGCACTTACTCCCTTTGCTGTTCTACCATCCCTTCCATCTTGGGGAAGAAAACAGACAAAAAAGAGTCCAAACCCCTAGAATTCGGAGAATATTTCAGTTGGTGGATGTCAGGGTTACCTAGTGCATAGTCAGAGTGTGTAGCTAAACAGGTAATTGAAGAGATATGCTGGTCATCACACGCATACACACACTCACATAACAAAGGTCAGCTCAGGCATCCTGCCCTGCTCCCTGTGCTGGCTCTCCCTGCTCTTCAAAACTTCTCCATAGCTGTCATATATAATTTGGGCCATGAAGATGCTCAGAGGGCTGGAGCACCTCTCCTGTGGGGACAGGCTGAGAGAGTTGGGCTTGGTCAGCCTGGAGAAGAGAAGGCTCCAGGGAGCCCTTCTAGCACCTTCCAGTACCTGAAGGGGCTACAAGGAAGCTGGGGGGGGACTTTTTACAAGGGCCTGTAGTGACAGGACAAGGGGGAATGGGTTTAAATTGAAAGTGGGGAGGGTTAGATTAGATATCAGGAAGAAGTTCTTCGTAGAGAGGGTGGTGAGGCACTGGAACAGGTTGCCCAGAGAAGCTGTGGATGCCCCATCCCTGGAAGTGTTCAAGGCCAGGCTGGATGGGGCTCTGAGCAACCTGGTCTAGTGCAAGGTGTCCCTGCCCATGGCAGGGGGTTGGAACTAGATGATATTTAAGGTCCCTTCCAACCCAAACCACTCTGTGATTCTATAACTTAGTAACACCTCAGAGATGTAAATTCTCCTTCCACAGGCAGCTGTATCAGTCCTTTGTGGGTCTGTCTTCCTCATAACAGATTCACAGGAGCAAAAGGCATGAAAATCACTGGTCTGGGACATGTAGAGGGAGGGTCAGAAGGCTGGATTGCTGCTACTGCTCTCACTGGGGCTACCATTCATCTGGCTTTCCAAGACATGTCCTCTGTTGTTTTGGGTTTTTTGGGTTTTTTTCCAGAAATTTTGACCAGGGTGAAACAGAAGAATCTGGTCACACTTGTGAAATTTCTAGGTATCTGGCACCTGCTCGGCCCTGGACAGGAGGATGCCTCGGCGACTGGTGACTGCAGGCATGCCCCAAGCACAGAGCACCCAGTGAACCCAACGCGGCTGTCTGCAGTCAAGGCTCTGCTGACCAAAACGTCCCGGACACGCCAGGATAAGTGCGTGTATGCTGCGTAACCTGTAAACAGGTATCTCTGTGTGGGAATTCCTAAACAGAAATACGGGCTTGATAATAACAAGTGTTAAATAGTGGTAATTTTAATGAATACAGTGACCACAACACAAGAATCGGGGTAGTCGCATACCTGATACAGTATACTGCCACCAGCAAAGGAAACATGATCAAATGAGGCTTTAGACAGGAGATTGTAAACCCTTTCTGTGGCTAGAGCCAAATTCCATGAGTAATTTTAGTTCATGGACCAAGGTTTATATTTAGGGCTTTATATACACGCCTCAGGCAATAGTTACATTGCCTGTGGCATCAAAGCATTCAGCTCTAGGGCAGAGCATTGCCCCAAGTGTTTAAAATATCATGAACTAGTCCTTAGAATATCATTAGGTAAGCTAAAAAGACATGGTTTTATTGGGTTTATCTTGTCAACAATACAACTGGGCCCCTTCAGTTGTTCGGTAGCCTGTATTAGAAGGTGGCCTAAATCTGTCTTAAAGCTTTTCTGTCCTTCAGCATTGAAGTTGTTTATTTATTGAAGTTTCCACACACACACATGGTTGCTAAAGGAAGTACAACGTTATGAGAAAGCATTTTAATGCTTTCAAGGAGTTTGTGAGTTGAATGGGGGCAGGAGGGGCAAGACTTTGTTTTAAATGGAATGGAAGGTGAGATAGACACGAAAGGGAGCTGTTGGCACTCCGTCATGCTTATGGCAAAGCTAGGAATTGAACACAGCTCTTTTGACTCCTACGTTCTGCAGCCAGACCATTGAATACTACTTTTAGGGAGCTGAGTACGTGCTGGAGAGAGCAGGAAATGTAACTAGTCCAGGACTGACTGATGGTTGTGTGAAAAGAGGCAAAGGCAACAACCCCAGCTGGAAGAAGAAATTGGTAGGAAAAAACTCCTTTTTTCCCCCTACTTGGACTGTGATTGAACCCTTGCAATGCTGGGATTTAATTTTCAACGCTATTTGGGTGTGACTCATGGGGTGTTCCACTGCAATCTAACTCCGTGGCATGTCCACCGCACGGACGATGCTGGCTAGAAGTAATTACATGCCCTGGCATTGATTCAGGCATGCTCTGGGGTAGGGGCTCCTACTGGTTTGGGGGCAATGTTTGAAAGCAGAGGTATCATTCGGTCTCTGTTTCTCATAAAATCTGACACAAACAGCTGCACCGGACTGATGAGCTCTCCCAAGGAGCCGGACATTCAGCAGTGGTTACATCAGCCTTTGCAGCACCAGTGAGATGGGCTTTGTGGCTGTAAGTTTTTTCATAGCTCAGTCAAGGACCAAACCACAGCCAGGAGTTCTGTATATGACCAGCTATTCCCTGTAGGGGCCATAATGTCGTGTGGGCCAGCCATAAAGCTTCCATGTGCTGGCTACTGTCTAATTTTGGGAGCTGACATGGCAGATCCTTGTTCTGGGTATCAAGGGGGGACAGTTTTACTGTTTCATTGCAGCAGTCGGTGTTCTGGCTCAGGCTCTTTGTGCCTGAGCTGCCCTTTCTCAGGCTGTTGCTGATAGTACGGGAGTCATGCATGGAAAAACACCGTCACAAAGCCATGCATGGGCTCTTTTGTGTCTAGCCTGGGGAAGGGCAAAGGGATTTTTACTGATCCTTACTTGGGACAGAAAAAGGCTTCTGAAATATCCAGCTGTTTAGCTATGGTTTGCATGGAGAAAAGTGGCAAAAATCCATGAGCGATTCTCTCTGTAGAACAGGTCCTGCCTCTTGCTTTTCTATCACTCCCTTGAATACGCACCTAATCGTGAGTCTCTTGCCCTCACCTCTGTGTCTTACATGCAGCCAACTTTGCTTCCCTGGGGTCCTCTGCCACAGCTCCGGGCTGCTTGCTAAATCAGTCCTTTTAAGCCTTCCTCCTACATTTGTTTTTCCTGAGAGCCTTAAGATGAATAGATCTCTGCTCAGGAAAATGGTATCAAGAAAAATAATTCCAACAAAAGTAATTTTCAGCCTGATTTGCCCTATTCTGGCTTGTTCTCCCTGACATTTCCACTAGAAATTGTTTAGGCTACAGTAATTAAAACTGGCACCTTGCCACCCAGGCTGGCTGTCCTTCAGAGGTGTCTTCTGTACCCTATAGATAATGACCTTGAGTCAAAACCACACTGTCTTTCCCCAGATGCATGGAGCAGTCTTCAGAGAAATCCATCTTCATTCTTTACCAGGTCAAATGCTGGATGAACCAGAAAGAATTACATAAGTGAGTGCACTAAATTACTGTATAAATATTTAAAGATATATATTGCAATGGAAAACGTTTTCTCTCTGAAATGCTCCCTTAAGTGTCACTCACACCAGCAACAGAGGTACTTAGATGAGGACAAATATTCCCTGGACAAATATTCCCAGGTATATACATTGAATTTTCAAAATGCACATTTTCAGTAGAAATCTCTACATTTAATTGTGCAAACCCATTGTCTTTTGCCTGCGTATTGTGCACATGTTAGATATGGTGCCCAGAACTCCCATCATCATTAATACTGACTATTTTAAAAATAGACATAAATAAAGAATACAAAGTAGAGAATTTATTAAGTTAGTACTGCTGCTTGTATTCAGTTCCTTGTGAATTAGATCACTTGCTTGTATTGCTGGGATCTCCTTTTTAAAAAATACTTAATAAATGCACACTCTAAAAAAAGTGTCAAAACCCAAGGAACTGCTAAATACAGAAGTAAGTACCTATATTGCTCTCCGTGAATAAAGAAATAGAGTAAATTTTTTATCTGAATGGCAAACTGTAGCTTTGACTAAACTGAAGACCTAAGAGAAGTTCTAAGAACCATCTGGGACTAAAGCACTGAACGAATTATGATTTCTATGCACTTTGTATAATAACATAATTTATTAACTACCTGACCTGGACATGGTATGTTTGCAAATAATACCACGAATAATGTAATGCTTGCATT